ACGTCTGTCGCTTGTTCGTAGGTTGGATTCAGAGGAACATCTAGGACGATTTCATCTTAAGTTAAGTTAAGTTGCTGATAGCAAACTGGTAAAAATGTGAATTTTCCAATTGTCTTTTAGCAAATGCAAAAAAAGGTCGTGGGGTAATCTTAAATATAGTTCATCAGTTTTATCGTGAAAAAGAATGATTGCATAATTGCATAGTAAAATGAAAAATGAACCTACGGGGTTTTTTTCTGTGGAGACCTATTTTGGGGTAGACGCCACATCTAGCGCAGCCTCACAATCCCAGTAACAAGATGGCGTCCAAATCTACAACAAACATCACAATTAATCTCCATTGACATTACATGGTAGCAGATCCGTCTTCGCTTTGATTGAAATTGAAAAGACGTGTCAAACTAAAAAAAAATGTAAAAAAATGCAGTCAATGAAGCTGCCATCAATTTAATTTCAGAGCCCCGTCAACAAGAAAATATGCTAAAGAGACTGGATTACAGCAAAGCTCCTTTTCATGGGCACTCTCTGGGAAAAAGTGGCTCTAATCAACAATGGGTTAATTAATCTCACTCATGAAGTTAAGTCCAATTATGGGAAGCACTCAAGAGAGTAATTTGTTTCCTAATAACAAAAAAAAGGCATTACCAATAACACGTCTAATAAATAAGAGTGCTTTGCCCAGATTAAAAAATGATTTCTGTGATAAATGAACAAATACGAAAGAGACAAAAGCAATAAGACGTTGACTTTTCTAGGATCCCAGATTCCCATTTTTCAGGCCAACTTAAAGTGAAGTGTGTGAATACTATCTGACATTAAAAAAAAACATGCAGAGTATAAGTATTTGTCTGTTGTCGTTGGAATAATGAAAAATGTTTCCTTCGAGACACTGGCAGAGAAAAGAGCAAGCAATTAGTGGAAGTGAAGGGAGAGGGAGACACATGGAAGGAGCGACGGCAACCGAGCTGTGTTTGAATGTGATTAATGAGATCACTGCGGGGTAGGCGGTGTCTCTGTAATAGCCATAGCAGGGGAAAGCGGCGAAAATAGAGTGGAAGAAAGATAGAGCGACGGATGGGAGGATAGACGGAAATCAGAGTGAGGAATGAAAGAGAGAAAAAAAAAAAAAATCAAAGAGGCCTTCCAAGTGACTGACCGGGCTGCATTTAACTCTCTGAAAGGAAAGGAGTCAGACCGAATGACGGACAGAAAGAGAGTGAGTTGACGGGGCTAAAGGGGGAGAAAAAAAAAAAAGAAAAGCAAATATAAAGCTGGGATGAATGGAACGGCGGGGGCTCTCAGTCTTCCGACCGGCCTTTTAACAGTGAAGTGTTTGGAGGAGCTTGGACCAGGTCTGGCAGATAAAGACGCTTGCGCTTTAAAGACGGCCATGAAAGGCGCAGCCCCCCACTCTGGGTCTGCTGCCGGCCACCTCTTCATCTGGCTCAAGGTTAAGATCTGAGCGGCGGGGGGGTCAAGTGGAGGCCAGGTTTGGATAAGGTCTCACAGGCATCCTGCCAGTCCGCAGCCTCGCGAGCAAGCTGCTAATTAGCCCGACAAGACGCTTGCTTTTGGGGATTTAACAACTCTGACTGCTACTTCCACGTCCAGCCTAAATTCATGCTTGCACATTCCGGTAACTTCCAGTCATTTAGCTGCAAACAGCATTCCTCCAGCCACGTAGAAAACAGAATTGACAGTGAGGTTGACAGATGCACGCTCGGGTTCTGCCTAAGGTCCTTTTAGGTGTTCAGGAATCAGCAATCAGACCACCTACTCAACAAAAGTCCTGCCCACACACCAGGCCTTCATGGAGGTCCTCGGTTGGTCAGCGAGTCTTTTCATTACAAAAACTGACCTTTTTTTTTTTTCTCCCATCGCAGTCCAGCGTGTTCTATTCGGAGGGAAAATGTTCTTTTGCTAGCTGAGGCAAGTTTCTGCTGCCTATGTCAGGCTCTGAGCTATTTCTAGTGGATATACCGTCAGCATAGCTGGTGTAACCTGAGGAAAAAGATTGCTGCGGTCAGGAAGAAGAATGGCAGCTGTTAACTAAACTGAGCTAAATCATTCTGAATTTACATCACGTGTTACTGTATCCTTAATTTTGTTCAGCCTTAACTCTGTTGTCAGCTTCCCTAACAGGTGTTCAGAGCCTGTCATTTTTTTTCCTATTTAAACAAGAAAGGCAAAACAAAGGCAACGCCTTAACAAAAGAAAATTCAGTTATTTGTTCGGTGTGGGATTAATTAGAGCAAGCTATTCAATATGAAACAAAGTGATGCAACAGCTATTACAGGAGGCATTCAGTGAGAAATACAATTTAGAACAATGATGATTGGAAACAAATTCTACCTGGTGGCAATTGTGAGACTTATTTTTTCTTATAATTGTGTTTCTTTAAATGCCACCTCAAGGTTAATGCACCATGCTCTGACAATGGCGATGTATAATCAAGTAATTAAAATGATTTATTCTCTGTAGCTTTGGGTTGTTTACTGCAATCTTGCAATAAACCACTAATGATTAACTGTAAACAATAAAAATTAGCTTCTAAAAATAAAGTGAACAGGGTTTCCGTTAAATTTTTCCTATTCGGTACATCGTAATGTTGAGTGTCTTCCGTGTGTAAACCTCTCAGAGTCAACACCACCCCAAAGGCAAGAGAATGGGCTTCCATTTGGTTACTCTACTCGTCTTACATTTCCGATTCTACATCCTCCATTGTCTGGGCGGAGAACGTTCGGTACTTTAGACGATACTTTGAACGTCTGAGTCAAATATCCCAGCCACAATCAGCCGGCCCAATCTATCCCTCACGTGACAATCCAGGCCGGGCAGAGCAGGTGAGCGGCCTCTGGGCTTACGGGCCAGACAGGCAGGCTCTCAGATCGCATTCCCTCCGAGGGCGGCCGATTGAAGCACTAATTACCTGAAGCGTGTTGTGGGGGGAAACGGAATATGAAGGAATAAGGTTTACCGCCTGTCCACCGGGGTTCTGTAGCAGCAGCTGCCCGCTTTTACGAGCCTTTCAAGTCGGCAGTGTTTTCTGCCCTGTGATCAGCTGCTACCCTCGGTGGCACCAACACACAACCCTGATGGAACTCGGGCCAGTGTGGGGGACATGTGACTGGACCGTGCACCCTCTGCTGCATTAACCGGTTCTGCAGGACTCTTGTCCTGTTCAACACCTGAACCACCCTTTTAAAAGGTCCCCATCAGCTGTAAGGCAAATCATCTGAACCACTTCACAATTATCTAGCAGGGCATTATGAAAAGAAAGGCAGCGCCTCATGTGTCGAAATACATTTATTTTTCATTATAGTGGAAAAATAATGAACGTCTTTAAAAAGAGAAAAGAAAAGAAAGCATTGGAAGTTGTGAGTCTTAAGCTAAGAGGAAAAATAAATAATACTGCTCAGAAATGACCTTTCTCTTTAATCCAGTGTATATTTCTGCTTTCCAATCAATAGTCTCAAATTACTCTAACTGGAAACACAATAATTAAAGGTAATCTTTGCATGTAGCCTATTGCTGTCTTGTATTTACATGTCTATATATATATTTTTTTTAAACTTCTGTCATTATTCAGAAGCATAGGTGGTCGAACAGTTTATTTAAAATGAACCTTTCACCTGTGCTGCCGTTGTGGGTAAACTGCATCGGAAGACAGTCAATCTCACCGTGTGTGAACTGACTCCGATCAGTGGGGGAATCCTGATGTGCCGCCTCTGAGTGCGATTTAACCTCCCGTTTCATGTACCGCCGCCGTGTCTTTCAGAATCCAATTTTACATGTGCGGTCGAGCCCTCAATCTCCATCTGTATCAAAGGCAAGGCTCGCCTCTCTCTTCCTTAATGCTGTCGTTGATTCCTGCCAATCCCAGTCCCCATGTGGGCTATGTCTCTGCCTCAGCCAGTGAGGCTAACCACACACTGTCGATTCCAGTTTAGATGATGCAATTCTCCAGTAAGTGCATCCAGAAAGTACTTTTTAGTCTCTGGGCTGTATGTACAATAGGGTGATGATGTAAATCAACGGGGTTGATCACCAATCTAGTGGATGTGAATCTAAGTCTAAGCATTTAATGGGACAACTACTGGAAGATATTTTAATTTTTGTAAGGCTTACAGTGGGTTGTAGGTGTACTTTTGGTTCTGATTGGAAACGGTTCTAAAAAGGTTCACAAAGGTCTGAAGTATTGTATGACTCCTTGGAGCTCTCTTAAAGTCAAGGAAGCTAATGTGAGGCCGGAAAAACTGAGATAAAACCATTACAGGAAGCGGTCAAACAGTAGAATGACCAACCAAATATCAACTGTGTGAGCATGTATGGCTGCCACAGGGACTGACACACTTATCTGAACTGATGATGTAACTGCTGGTGGATGCATATGGCATTCTGAGGTGTGCAGAGACATGTGATCTGCTCAGCTTTCAGTACATGCCTCCTAACCCGGGGATGGATGGCAGCTGATTCTGAAAGATAATGATCTCAAACGCAACTCTTTAAAACATGCTTCGAATCAAATCCAGCATATATTGAACATATACCATGCAAACACACATAGTGTGCACTTTAATGACGAATTAATGAATTCTTTGATCAAGCATTTTAAACCGTACCTCTGAACAATGCCATTTTGTCACAGACTAAACAATATGGAGAGCCCTGGTATGCATTCTCCATACTGTAGAGTCTGCCTGCCTCTCAAGCCCTCATCCTCAATCAATCCCTCATAAAAGCCTGCCACAGGCAGCAATATCCACCAGCACTATCCTTCACGCTTTGCAATGCTCCAGCAAAGTCCAGGAAACAGCCAAATATACAGGAGCCGGTCTGCAGGGAGAGCATGAGGGAGGTGGAGGGAGAGAACGAGGAGCGGGATTGAATGGGGAAGAGGTAAATGGAAAGCTGGGGAGGGGGCAACTTTGGGACGGGAGCCAATCCAATTACAAGCAGCGATGCAGTCCCGGTTTCTCTGGCGGCACTAAATTCACATGTCACTGGTCTCTTCTTTCCTCCCCCAATACCTTCTTCCTTCCCCTTTTATCTCTGCCCGTTCCTGCTCCTCTCTTTTCACATGTCTGCTCATCGCGGCTCAGTCTCACACACTCCCGCCGCGCACCCCCGCGCACGCCGCCCCTCCCGTGGGCTTTCTGGCTGTCTCTCGGGGTTGCACGAGCACAGTGGTGAAAACACAGGACTGTGTCACGAGCAAAGTACCCAGCTCGCCACTTTATTTTGGCGTCACGCTCGGATCTAAAAGAAGCCGGCAGCATGCTGCTGGAAACCCGAATGAGCGTATCATCCTCCTGCAAAACAGCTGCAGGAAGGACTGACCAGGTCACCTCTGCCCCACCCGCCACACCCGGGGGGGGCAAAACCTTGATGACACAGCGAAGGTGTTTAAAGCAGTCCTCTTTGAAACACAGCTGCCATAAAACACGGTTTCTTATTCGTCACGGATTACACCAGCAATGCTTTTCCTTTTTTTCATGCAACCACAGACAGCTACTGTACGATGGGTAGACCAGTTGTGGTCATCCACGCCTTGTAGTGAACAGTCCAGGCTCCAGATACCACGTGCTTCCATGCAAACGCATGCCGTCTTCATTTCCATGAATGGGCCAGCATGCAAATTGCTGCACAGGGGGAGCTGGGCCTTTTCTAGTCAAATGTTCTCAAACAATAGGTTCAAAATCAAGAGCGGCATTCTTTTTTACTGTAAAAAATTTGTTTTTGTTTGAAATCCAAAAGCTTTTAATATCTGAAACATTTCAAGCTTAAATCTTAAATCTACTTGTATTTTCTTTAAGAGATTTTAAATATTCAGGGACCAAACTGTTCTCATGTACTCATATGGACTACAGGACAGTGAAAGGAAGAATACTTATTTTGTGGACAGCCTGCTGGAACTTTCTTTATGCTCTGTTGCTGAAATTGTCATGACTACCTCATTCCGTCTGACATGTGATCAGTCTCTGTGGGTGTGTATTTGTGCTGTGAGCACTGGGCTGTGCTGCTGCTTTTTGTCAAGGTGCTCTTCTCATATCCTGTTCAATTCCTCCAACTGCTTAGTGTTACTGTGGATACATGTGAAAGGCGAGCCTGTGAGCTGCTCGCACGGCAGCACGTGCGCCCGCTCTGCATCGGCCTTTCAGAGATAGAGACGGAGATATGGGGGAGGGAAGCGGGAGACGGGGGGGACGAAAACAATATCCAAGTTGAGGCGGCGCTGCAAGAAAAAACTCTCTTTTCTGTCTAATCTAATCTAACCGCGTCGACAGAAAAAGGCTTGAATTTTTAAACAGTTAAAACAGGGGATTACGTCACATGAATATTTCTTTCCAATACAGCTACCAAAGCCCGACTGGTGACTTGATCAATAATGGATAAAAGCTCGGGCCACCAAAACCAAACTTACTGAAAGTGACAGGATGGTTGAGAATAGCTATTGGGTGTGTTTAAATGGGAGCTTGTGATGTCACTCAGAAATCAGTTGTGCTCCACACCTATCCACACAATGCATTACGATCAAATATGCCAACGATTTCCAACCCTGGACCCGAAAACACAGCGTTTCAGCTCTGCCACTGTTTAATCCCGTCAGTGCTATCGCATCTAATACCATTCTTCATGTTGCTGGGGTGTGAAATCTATCATTTCAATCTGTCCAGGAGCCCCTATAACCCTCTGCGGCTTCTGTGTTCTTTGATTCTGAGACTTAGAGCTCAAGACTTAGAGGCTAGTCTCTCTCTTTGCTCTCAGTAGGCCACAATCCTAAAGATGCCTATTAAAAGCAACAGGTCGGCTCAGGTTTTTCCGCACGTTAAAGCTCAAGCTCACATGAATAGGTACCAGCGGTGACCATTACATCACTCCTCAACAACCGTTTGTAAGCGGGCTTTGATCCATCGGCTCACCAATGGAACCACGGACTTAATCCCAACACATCATCTGTAATGTTTTACAGATAAGAAGACATAAGGAAATGACACGCACCTTCTTCAGACGTCCACTCTTGGTGCCCACAAAAGCAACACAGTAGCCGTTGTAGACGTAGGACGTCACGGAGGTCATGCGGTCCCGGGTCTCGGTGTAGAGCGTGTGGCCGGTCACCAGCTGAGAGCCGCCCAGAGGCTGGTTGATGTCCAGACCACAGAAGGAGTCGTCGATGGGCACCGGCTGCAGGCAGAGCAAAACAAGGTTTAGAAATTCTACGATATATAAAAGACAACGCAAAAGGGATTTAAACTGACTTTGAGCAAAGGGAAACCGAGACATGGAACCTAACGCAGACACAGTAAAGTGGCGAAAATAGGTCAGAGATGTGCGGAGAAAAAATAAATTAGTAAAGAGGGGAGACAAAAATAAAGTGCATTAGATGAGAATAAATTAAGCTGGAGACGGCGTAGAGAGAGACAGCAACAAAGCACTGGAAATAGTTCCAGGATCAGAGGGAAATCAGAGGGCGACAGAGGTAAGCGTAGGACAGGACGGAGGGTCAGGCTGAGTTTGAAGTGCTAGTGCAGGGTTTCATAGCTAGGTAAACATTTGTCTTTTTGTTTCGGGTTGGAAAAAATACACATCGGCTTCACCTGACTGAGCTCCACCTGTCTCTCAGTGTGACTCATTACCCCGAACTATCATCACACCTCTGCGGGAGGACACACTGCATGCTAACGACGTGCAATGGCACTCACACTGTGCCACAGCCGGCCAACCGTGAAACACGCAGGCGTCCGAAGAGCACTCACTTACTCGTTTTTATCAGGTCAATGGAAAATAATCCCTACTGCAATGTCTTAATCAGGGGGGGAAAAGTTTGGAAAAACATACAGACATTCTCCTAGTTATGGCTGTTTTATATAGAACCACCTATGACGATTGCAAATTAAGTTGTTTTTTTGTTTTTTTGGACACCATCTTGGTACAGAATCAGTACCCTCCTCTCACTTTGCCAGCTAATACATGGACGTCATTGGAAAAGACGTTGCCTTAAAGGCATCATATTTGGCTCTAAAATGTTATGTAACATCTCTGTGTCAATGTTGCCAGCATGGAAGTGTGTATGAGCCGTGCCAGGTCATTGATATAGCCCCATACAACCTCAGAGTCTTTGGTTCGGACTCTTCGCTAATAACAGCCCAGTGGTTAATTTGAACCAACACACATATTCCCACACATAAAGATTCATCTTTCCCAGTAGTATTTTAAGGGGCCTTTTTAAGGCAATTCTGTGTTTTAGCGATCGACAAAGATTCCCAAAGATGCACCCATGTGCCTATATGAGCTATTTCTGGAATTCATGAGCTATTTATGATGGGTTCTCGGGCTACTGTTGTCAGACGGGTCAGACATCAAAGGTGTATATCTTAGGCTTGCATCTTTGCCCTTTAAGGCATCAGTCATTCATACATTTTCTTTAAGACATGATGTACTGTAAAAGGAGAAATGAAATGATCTGTTCCAGTCGTTCTTTGACAAACATTGTTTGTAATCATTTAATTGATCTGCTGCCAATGTTTCCTCCTCAAAGACTCAGCTTTTCAGCAGTCCTGCTTTTTTTACGATATCATAATTAGAATCAACTGTCGAAATCACCTGTTTGAAATAGCAACATTATTCTTTTTAACCTCATTACTAACCCTAAAACCCCCACTTCCAAGCTTTGATTTTGGATTGTAGATGTAATGTGTCAGATTGGATGTGCACTAACAAACTAAATAAAGTTGACTAGATGAAATGTCTTTGGTTTGTAATTCTATCTTCAATTAAATTTAGTTTTTTGTTCGTTTTTTTGTCCGTTTCAGTGCACTCCTTTTTTATATTGCTTCTCTCGTGTTCCTTCTTCCACACCAAACTCAATTTTTCCAAATGTATTATTTGTGGTGGAGGAAATTTGGCCTTAAGAAAAGCGTCTTGGTGCCAGCGCTCGGAGAGAGATTTCCTCGTTCTTGGAGGAGGTGAGTTCTGACGTTGAATCGGGTCAGCTGACAGTGTCTGACTGGCAGTGACCTCAATGTGCCATGTGGAGTAAAGGGAGATGTGATACCCCACCGTCTATGTATCCCATGTTCCCCTGCTCAGAACCCTCTTAATATTCATTCCTCTGACTCCGACTCATTAGTTAGTTTACTGCCACTATATCTACCTCTCATCTGTGTCCTCTCTGTCTACGTTTCTCCGTGTCTCTCCTTGTCAGAGAGGAACTGTGTACAGAGGGCTGATACTGAGTGACACTGCTCATAGAGGCACATCAGCCTCTTCCTGCACACCAAGGCTGCAAAACCTTTCTGTGCAGGTTTCCAGTAGCCTTACTGCTGACAGTGAATAATCACCTCCACTCATAGAGTTCCACCCTTTTCCTTTAACCCTTTAACATCTACACTTCAAAAAGAGAACATGGGAAAATACTCCTTGGAGTGTTTTTCATTTATTTGTAGCAATAACAACCAGAGTCAATGCTTTTTTCACGGATAGTTGTGGTGACACTTCATGGCAAAAAGTGTGAAATCTTAAAAAAGATTTGTCGTAAATCATATTTTAGAGCTAGTTTAGGTAAGTGCATCTCCTCTAGTGTATCTAGAGTGGAATCAGTGAAAAATGTCTGCGGAATGGTTGAGCAGGGTCTTAAAGGGTTAAGGAATTTTCTTCTATTTTCCATTCCACAATCAGCATAGAGCGCTAAGCGCACAATACTACAATCCGTTTTCATGTCAATGCTCATTTTAAGCACATGCAGAGTAAATCAGATGGGAAAGCTAGCAACTATCTCGAGGAGCAGCAGTCTGCTCCACACTCTGGCTCGTCAATAGCAGCTCCTTCAAAAATTGTGCAGCCATCCCACATATGGTTTGTTGGGCTCCCCACCATTTGGTTCTGATTATATGTAGATTGTTTAGATGATGTACGCTTTAGCAGACTTGGCAAACATCTCAAAATCCCCCTAGACTCCATGTGGTTGAGCTTTCCTGTTCACCATCTTGCAGATTTATTTTTTTTTTTTTCACGGTTTGCTTTTTTCCCTGCCTTATCGCACAATTCACATTTAGTAAAGAAGCGTGGTGCTGTTTTGGCAGAGCTGTTATAGGGCTAAATATAGACTGTTAGGGTTAGGGTTCATGTGTAATGAATCTTTATCGAACAACCCGCAGTATGGAATCATTCTTAAATTATCCCTAACTAGTAATGGCTATCTCGGCTTGTTGGAACATTCAAGTACGAAAAGACAACGCTGCCACACGGTTCCATATTGTGTGAAATTTGAATGAGGACACATCTAATGGTTTCGCTCCCATGGTATATCAATGTTATCAATAGCTCCCCTTTGCTCCCACCAGTGGTTAATTAGTTGGTGGGGCAAAAAGCATGACAGGAAGATAGACACAAGCACAGACAGCCTGATACAAAAGAATCCCATCACAGCTCCCTTCCACGGGATTGACTACAGAGATTGTATGAGTGTCCAGATGGCAGAAGGCTGGACGGCTGGGTGATAAATCTTTGATTGGTTGCTGTGTCTGAATCCCCTGGCTCAGCCTCGGTTCCATTCCCAGCCTGAATGTGAGCTTACACACAGACCAAAGACCACAAGAATGAGATCTGGGTGTACAATTAAGTTTCAGGGCTTTGAACTCACTGACTACCTGCTGTGAGCATCAAATCAGATGAAAAGCAAAGAGACCAAATGTGTGATTTACTCAAACAGTTAACCCAAAAAAAGGAGGGGAAAAAAAAGCTTCCAAGGCGGCTATAACCTTGGGTGACCTCATATTGAGAGGATCTGATGGATCTAAGACATGAATACTCTAAAAATACCACAGACAAACACAGTCAAACGCATTTCCCTTTAAAAGACACAATTTAAGATGTGTACTTCAAAGCAGATGCTCTGCTCTGAACTGAACTGAAGGCTTAAACATCAGCATTGTTGACATATCTGGGCGCTAAATGCAATTTGTAGAGATTTAGGAGTCCCCATCCATTGGCATCTATCTGCATAATCCATGTAGTGCAAAGGATTTATCGGCTCTGTATTGAGCAGGAGGGTACAGTCTTAAGACCGTGCAGCTCCTTAACATCCCTTCAGTTGTGCAGCCCTGGTGTAAAACGTGAGATCTGAGTGGGACTATCGCCACCATGGCTTTCCTGCAGAGCGGAGTGGGAGGTGCAGCTTCGCAGGTAACAGCTGGCAACCGTCAATGCACGCGGAGTAGATTGGGGTATTCTTCTGGGAAGCTAGAAAAATGTTCTAATTTGAGTTCCCACTGTTAATATGGCTCCCAACCGCAGACCTGTCATCACTACACATCATCGGCTCTCGTTCTGTCGCCCACTCTGTTCCTTCTAACGTCTTATTTAGCCTGCACAGAGTAGCTAATGAAACCCAGCAGCCAGTTCCAGATAACACACCCTCCCGCCTGACAATCACCTCTGACATTGGGCTAATGCTGAATTTACTGATTTTAATAGGACGGAGGTCCACTGAGATCCCTGAGGGGAATTAGCCCCGAAATAAGCTCATCAGTGGTTTCTCATCACAGTGAGGGACAGAGATATCATTAAAGTATACAGTACACATACATGTGCGCCGTCTTAATAAGCCTGTCCTATGTAAAAGCAGCACAACATAGCAACTGACTAGTTACACACTTAGCCAGTCATTAATTCTTAATAATCTTAAATTCCTATTAGCAATTACAGAATGAAAGCACGGAGGACGGCAGCCCCCTGGGAACGAAGGAAAATCAAGGAACGTAATTCTACTTGACAACATGTAGCAGATTCGTGGCCTTTTATTATGGGATAATTGGGGATATTAGAAGAAAAAGGCTGGCGTGTGATCTATTGCAACGTGACAAAAAGAGTAAGTTGAGCGACCCCAGCCCCCTCCCAAACCTCCATGCAGCCAGACAAACACATATTTCAGTCTAAAAGCAGAAAGTGTTTATTTGTATTTTGATAGCTGAGGATGTCATCACTTTGATCCTTGCGAAGAAAAACAATGTCTCCCTCATTTATCAATGTCTCCCAATAAAATACATCTAAAAGTGTAGTCTCTCTGATGTCAGGAGCTACAAAATAATTTGGCATCGTTACATGCGATGGGAATCATTTGTTAATGGAGTGCATGCAATACGAGGCGCTCAGAACATTTCCAGATGATTGCTGTGTTTGTTTTACCCAAACACCGTACCCCCTCCCCCCCAAAAAAGCTGTCCAGGCTAATTGACACTGCTGTGAAAAAATATCAAACTACTCCTAATTTCTTCATATTTAGCTTCCAAGTGGCCAAACTTTCCTCTGATCGATTAAATTGCAGATTATCTTAACTGAGATTGGCATCCTTAAGGAATAAGAAAAGAAAAAAACAAAGGTATAAGACAGAATGCAAGACGCAAATCTGACTATTCAATTGACGCAATTAAAGTTGACTGAAGCCTCCTCAGAAATGGTCTCCATGGAAAGATGGCTGTCGAGAAGTCCTTCTTAGGTGAGGGAAATGGGTAGCTAAGGCTGAGGTATGCCAAATAACACAATAGCTGGTTTGAGAATCAGTGGCAACGGGACCTAATCCTCCACAGAAACTGGAATTCAACATTAAGTATGTGTTGAGGAATAAAAGGTGGTGCAAGCTGTACTTCCATTGTTAATTCAGTTTTGAACATGTTTCCTGTTCATTCAATTTTTCTACTCATACAGATAGATAGATAGATAGATAGATAGATAGATAGATAGATAGATAGA